ACACTGCCTCTTTAAAATCTGGGGGAGAATCCCGCACCCCTCCTAATTTGGTCAATGTGCTACTCTTAGATTTCCAGTCAAGGTTGACTTCCTATGCAGTCTCTGAACAGCTGAAAGCGAAATATTCCCCACAGTCCTGGATGTTTAGTAGCTTCTCCCTTGTATGGTCTCACTGGTGAATTGAAGGCTTAGATCTTCCGTCATTTCTCTGGTGTGGATTCTCTGGTGGATCGCAAGGTCTTCATTGCGAGTATAACATTTCCCACATTCATGGCATTTGTATGGCTTCTCTCCCGTGTGGATTCTCTTATGCCTCACAAGCTGCGAATTCTGAGCGAAACACTTCTCACACTCCTGGCATTTATATGGTCTCTCTCCTGTGTGGACTCTCTTGTGGGTCACCAAATTCGCAATCTGGGCAAAACAGTTCCCACACTCTTGGCATCTGTATGGTTTTTCTCCTGTGTGGACTCTCTGATGATTCACGAAGGTTTTATTCTGAGCAAAACATTTTCCACACTGCTGGCATTGGTATGGTTTCTCTCCTGTGTGGACTCTCTGATGATTCACCAGGGTTTTATTCTGAGAAAAACATTTCCCACATTGCTGGCATCTGTATGGTTTTTCTCCTGTGTGGACTCTCTGATGATTCAAAAAAGTTGTATTCTGAGCAAAACATTTACCACAGTCATGGCACTGATACGGTTTCTCTCCTGTATGGATTCTTTCATGGTTCACAAGGTGCGACTTTTGAGTAAAACACTTCCCACATTGCTGGCATTTGTATGGTTTCTCTCCAGTATGGAGAGTCTGATGATTCGTAAGGTGTGAAGTATGAGCAAAGCATTTTCCACACTCCTTACACTTATATCGTTTATCTCCTGTGTGGACAGAGTAATGTATCACAAGGTGCGACTTCTGAGTAAAACATTTGCCACACTGCTGGCATTTGTATGGCTTCTCTCCTGTATGGATTCTCTGATGGATCACAAGGTCTCCCTTAGAAGCAAAACATTTCCTGCATTCCTGACATTTGTGAGGTTTCTCCCCTGTGTGGACTCTGCAGTGTATCATAAGCTGAGAATTGCCAGAAAAACCTTTCCCACACTCCTGGCATTTGTATGGTTTCTCCCCTGTGTGAGCTCTTTGGTGTCTCACAAGGTGTGTATTAGAAGAAAAACAGTTACCACATTCCTGACACCGGTACGGTTTCTTTTCTCTGTGGGTTCGCATGTGCTTCCTAAGGTATGAACTGCAAGTGAAATCTTTCCCACACTCTTGACATTTGTAAGGTTTCTCCCTCATGTGGACTCTCTGGTGATTCCAAAGCTGTGAATGAGAAGGAAAGTATTTCTCACACTCTTGGCATTTATATGGTTTTTCCCCTGTGTGGACTGCCTGGTGGACCTGAAGGTGTGAGTTTTGCCCAAAAGACCTCCCACATTCCTGGCATTTGTACGGTTTCTCTCCTGTGTGAACTCTGCAGTGGATCATAAGCTGTGAATTGGAAGCAAAGCTTTTCTCACACGCCTGGCATCTGTAGGGTTTTTCTCCTGTGTGGACCCTTTGGTGGATCAACAGGCTGCTTTTCCAAGGGAAGGATTTTCCGCAATCCTGGCATTTGTGTGGTTTCTCCTCCCTGCGACTTTTCAGCTGGCTCAAAAACTGTGAATGGTGAGCAACATCTTCCCGAGACAGTTCAAGGTCTTTCTGTGAGTCATGGACACTCTTGTGAATCATAAGTGCCATCTTTAGGGTGAAATATCTGCCACATATGGAGCATCGGTATGGCCTCTTTCTGTTACAAGGCTCCTCTTCTGCATGCATTTGTTGGTTTCCTACAGGAGTCACTTTCTCCATAAAGGACCTCTCAGGCTTTGCTCCCCTCCAGTTCTCTGCTGGGTAGAAAAAAAAAGCATAGACAAGTTTGAAAGAAAAGCTTGGAAAGCTTGAAAGAGAAGAAAATAAATGACGATATTCCTAAAGAAAACGACTGAAATCAAAACAATACAACAGAATACAGTATATATAAAAAGTTTACACACCTTTGTTAAAATGTCATGTGTCTGTCGTGTAAAATAATGAGACAAAGATAAATAATTTAAGAAAAAAAAAGCATAGACAAGTTTGAAAGAAAAGCTTGGAAAGCTTGAAAGAGAAGAAAATAAATGACGATATTCCTAAAGAAAACGACTGAAATCAAAACAATACAACAGAATACAGTATATATAAAAAGTTTACACACCTTTGTTAAAATGTCATGTGTCTGTCGTGTAAAATAATGAGACAAAGATAAATAATTTAAGAACTTTTTCCACCTTTAATGAAACCTATGAATTGTACAACTCAGTTGAACAACAAACTGAAATCTTTTAGGTGGAGGGAAGTAAAAATAAAAAACTGAAATAATATAGTTGCATCTGTGTGCACACCCTCTTATAACAGGGGGTGTAGCTGTGTTCAGCAGTAAACAATCACATTCAAACTCATGTTAAGTAGGAGTCAGTACACATCCGCCACCATTTAAAGTGCCTCTGAGGAATCTCAAATAAATATCAGCTGTGCTAGTAGGTCTTTCCTGACATTTTCTTAGTGACATCCTACAGCAGAAGACATGGTCCGCAGAGAGCTTCCAAAGCATCAGAGGGATCTCATTGTTAAAAAGTATCAGTCAGGAAAAGGGTACAAAGAATTTCCAAGGCATTAGATATACCATGGAACACAATGAAGACAATCATCATCAAGTGGAGAAAATATGGTACAACAGTGACATTACCAAGAACTGGACGTCCCTGCAAAAGTGATGAAAAGACTAGAAGAAAATTGGTCAGGGAAGCTGCCAAGAGGCCTACAGCAACATTAAAGGAGTTGCAGGAATATCTGGCAAGTACTGGCTGTGTGGTACATGTGACAACAATCTCCCGTATTCTTCATAGGTCTGGGTTATGGAGTAGAGTGGCAAGATGGAAGCCTTTTCTTATGAAGAAAAACATCCAAGCACGGCTAAATTTTACAAAAACACATCTGAAGTCTCCCAAAAGGATGTGGGGGAAAAGTGTTATGGTCTGATGAAACCAAGATTGACCTTTTTGGCCCTAATTCCAAAAGATCTGTTTGGAATCACCAGAGAGTCCACATGAGGGAGAAACCTTACAAATGTCAAGAGTGTGGGAAAGATTTCACTTGCAGTTCATACCTTAGGAAGCACATGCGAACCCACAGAGAAAAGAAACCGTACCGGTGTCAGGAATGTGGTAACTGTTTTTCTTCTAATTCTCACCTTGTGAGACACCAAAGAGCTCACACAGGGGAGAAACAACACTGCACATCACCAAAAGAACACCATACCCACAGTGAAGCATGGTGGTGGCCGCATCATGCTTTGGGGATGTTTTCCTTCAGCTGGGGATGTGGTGGCGCTGCGGGCTAAACCACAGAAGCCTTTGTGTGCTGCAGGGTCAGAAGACCAGCAATCGTAAGATCGAATCCACGCGACGGAGTGAGCTCCCATCACTTTGTCCCAGCTCCTCGCCAACCTAGCAGTTCGAAAGCATGTAAAAATGCAAGTAGATAAATAGGTACCACCTCGGTGGGAAGGTAAACAGCATTCCGTGTATAGCCGCGCTGGCCACGTGATAACGGAAACAAACGCTGGCTCTACGGCTTGGAAACGGGGATGAGCACCGCCAGAAGAAGATTAATTTTTTGGAATGGCCAGCCAGAACCCAGGCCTAAATCCAACTGAATATAATGCTCAAGTGACCCAGGGAATAGTCACATTACAGAGCCAGTGGTTAATAATTAGTCTGTCTTTCCAAGACAGCCCAGGGAACTGTAACTTCATAAGATGAAGGCAAGGAGGCTTCTTAACAGCATTCTCACCAAAACAACACTTCCCGTGATTCTTTCAGGAGTGGAAGGAAGCATAATAGCTTCAAGTGGTAGGAACCCAATACTGTACAACTTTATAGCGTGAGAATCAGTTTTTTTTTCAGTTTTTTATTTTTACTTCCCTCCAACTAAAAGATTTCAGCCTGTCATTCAACTGACTTAATTCTTACCTCTGCAGGGGAACCTCCTGTACACGTGGCACTGGACATATAGAAAAACCCAATACTGTACAACTTTATACATATTATTTCAGTTTTTTATTTTTATTTTTATTTTTACTTCCCTCCAACTAAAGGATTTCAGTCTGTCATTCAAATGACTCACAGTAATTCTTACCTTTACAAGGGAACCACCTGTACACGTGGCACTGGACTATACATATAGAAATAACAGACTGTTGGATACAAAAGTGTGAGAGATGGAATTAAGTAGCAGCTTCATCCCTGAGCCAGGATTGGACCCTGATTACAGCAGGACTTCCTGCTCAGTAAAAATAGACACTGGTTGACTGCCAATTACATCTAAGGCAGAGGTGGGCAACTGATAGCAAAGGGCTACATACAACCTTCCCCTATTTGTGTCTGCATCCTACCACCCGCTGCCCCCTCTAGTCCCCATTGAATCTGTTGCTGCTTTGAGAGGGCAGTGGGAAAGGGTGAGCATGATCCACAGGCTTTGTTGACAAGTACAGTTTTTAATGTATAAAACCCTAAAAACTTGGGTCCAAGCTATCTCAAAAACCACATCTCCATTTAAGATCATGTAAAGATCATCAGGGGAGGCCTCTCTTGTGCGCTTAGAAAAGGGCCTTCTTTGTTGCTGCTCCCAGACTCTGGAACTCCCTCCCACTGGAGGCCAGGCTGGCCCCGTCTTTGCTATCCTTCCGCACACAGGCAAAGACCTTTCTCTTCAGCCAGGTTTTCCCTTAGTGATGTTGGCTGTCTGAGAGGCTTTTTTAAAGTGGATTGATGTGCTTTGCTGCTTTTAAATACATTTAAAGTATCGGTTGTATTTACCATTTTTAATATATTTGTATAATTTTTTAAAAAATATTTGCATAGTTACTGTTTTTAGCTTTTAAATATTGTCTTTTAATTATGTTAGCCGCCCTGAGTCCTTTTTTTTAACGAGAAAGGGGTGGAGGTCAAAATATTTTCAATAAGTAAATAAAACAGCTGAACTCAGATACCTAAACCACTGAACTATCTAGTCAATCATGCAAATTATTGCCAGTACAGTGTTTATGTTGGTTGGTTCTGGCAAAAGGTCTTATCCATGGAGTTTCCTGGTCTGGTATCCAACTTTTCAAGTCCTTCCCATTCCTGAGAATCTAGCACCCACGACGGCCCCTCCTCTTCCTCCGTTTCTGAAATGGGTTCAGGCTTTGGAACTGGTGATTATGTTGGAGAAAGAAGAGAACAGGAGCAATCAATCACACTGCAGAACACTTGTGTGCCTTTTTCGTAACAACACTTAAGAATCATTGCTATGGGGTCGCACTTCTTGTGTTGGTTTTTATTATTTGTGGGGTTATGTTGTTTTTATTCTACATATTATTGTTAGTGGCTCAGAGTTGTACTCTGTTACCAGATAGGCAGGATATGAATGAATGAATGAATGAATGAATGAATGAATGAATGAATGAATGAATGAATGAATGAATGAATGAATGAATGAATGAATGAATGAATGAAAATAGAGCAAGCATAATGCCACGATCAACCTATTGTTAGTTAATGAGATGATCTTTTCAAAACTGCACTGAAAAAGCCAGGGAAAGTAGACCCACAAAAGTGATACCTGCACAGGTTAGTGTACTGCAGAATTTTTCACTAGTTTGTCATCATTCTGGCCCAACATTTTTAGAAGTGAGGCAAGAATCCTTAAAAAATGGACACTGAGACTCTGTTTAAATCTCATATCTAGAGTTTCCTTGGTTCTATCAAAAGAGGCTTTATCTTCCTTGATGAGCGGAAGTGTGGACAAGCACAACTCTAAGCCTTTGCACCTTCTCTTCCAGCAAGGACACCAGCTTGGATTTCTAACTGATACAGCTTCTTACATGTGTAAGAAAGCAAGCAGAGCACAGCTGTTTCTGGACACCTTAGCAGCTCCACTGCAGGCCACAGCACGTGGTCATTTGCTGGACACAATCATGGAAAGCAAAGATGGCCTGTAACAGTCAACAGAATGGGTCAGAGGGCGAGACTAGAAAAAGGCATCAGGAAGAAGAAGAATGGACTTAGGCTGAGGCAAGTTTCTTACCAAGAGATGAAAGCATCTCATAGTTGTTCAACATGACCTCCCTGTATAAAGATCGTTGAGTCGAATCCAGCAGCAACCACTCCTCCTCTGTGAAATGCACAGCCACATCCTCAAAGGTCACCAGTCCCTAAAACAATAAAGGGACTGTTTCACACAAAGGTGAATACTAGACCGAGGGAAGGTTGATGGCACACCGTCCTGATGGAATTCAGCCCATGTGGAATAACGATGGCAAACGTATCTTTGAAGGCTTCCTTTGTCCCATACCTGGGATCTGAAACGAGCAGACTTCATCCCAATTAAAATACAGCCACCCAGGACAGCAAATGGTGTCCCTTCTTATCCTGGGCAAAGTGAACAGCACTCAAAGCAAGCCAAATCTATGTTTACTTGCCACAGGAGGGAGGAAAAATTCTCTACCATTACTTTCTGCATAGGATTGGTTCTAATATCAGATGTGTGTCCGCATTCTCTACTGTGTAGGGACTTCCTTATTATTTGTCCTATACAAGATGTTGTGGGGGGGGGCGTGGTTGGCAAAAGATGGCATATGTAAGATGGCATACTCCGTCCTTAGGAGTAAATATTCAACAACAGCAAACTATAGAACTAACAATCTGTCATTTCTTTTCTCCCAACGGTAGGGGAGACACAGCAGTGAAAGAAAGAAAGAAAGAAAGAAAGAAAGAAAGAAAGAAAGAAAGAAAGAAAGAAAGAAAGAAAGAAAGAAAGAAAGAAAGAAAGAAAGAAAGAAAGAAAGAAAGAAAGAAAGAA